AGATTTTTCTCTTCTTGGCTGATGGGCCCCTCAGGGGTGCTCACCCACCTCCACAGTAGCCATGGGCTTGATCCCACCCTGCTACCACCCATAGGCAGGGCCTTTTGTGTTTCCTGATCTGGGGCCACCGGCCTTTACTTTCTCAGCTTTAGCCTCACCCTGAGCCCAGCCCATCTTAGCTCTGTGCTCACCGGTACACCCGGAGTCCATCATCCTTGGTTCCCACCCTGCTCAGCCACCGCCCCCTATTCTCTGGCCAGCTTTTTGGAGAGGACAAGGACCTCATAGCAGCTCCCTTCAAGCCTCGCTTCTGCCTCAGTGTCCTCCAGAACAGATTCCTTGTTCAGGGCAGGACAGGCATCCTCCAAGACCCTTAAATAAAAACAAAACCTTTATGTGTTGTGTGTGCAAATGCAAACACAAAGTGCAAATGTGTGTGGAGGTCAGAGGATAAGTGTGTGTGTCGTGTGTGTGTGTGTGTGTGTGTGTGTGTGTGTGTGTGTGTGTGTGTCTGTTCTCTCCTTCCATGTGAATCACAGGGATCCAACTCAGACTGTCAGACTCAGTGGCAAGCAACTTTACTCACTGAGCTATCTCAAAGGTCCTAAGAGAGTATTCTTCTCTTTCTCCGTCTTGCCCCAGGACAGACCTGGGCAGTTATTAGTATAATTGAAAAATATGGAAATGTACATGAAAATAAAGAGCTCAGTATAATGCGTGCATTCAGTGTAGCTCCAACAATCCCCAATTCAGAGGCAGTCTGGTTTAATCTGCACCTGACTCCCTGTCCTCTTCCTGTTGATCGCTGCAAAGCAGTTTCCCTGCGTCACATACTCCTAGCCACACATTCTTCCGTGTGTACCTCTGGCAGGCATGGCCTCCTCGCACCCTGAAGTTGGTACAGAGAAGGCAAGGCAGGCCACATTTTACCCCACCCTCCCCTCTAGTTTTCAGAACAATGAGCCAAGCAACTGTCCAAGGACAATGAGGACTTTCCAAGTCTCATTATGAACAAATTGGGTTTTAGGATATTTGGCATTCTTTAATCTGTATTTTTGTTTGTTTTTGGAGATAGGAGCTTACTCTGTAGACCAGGCTGACCTTGAACTCATGGAAATCCTCCTGCCTCAGCTTCCTGGATTCAGGGATTATAGATGTAAGTCTCTATGTGAGGCTTCCATAATTGTTTGTGCTGTTTGAATTCTTCTGCTATTACTCAGACCCTTCAAAAAAATGTGTGTGTGTGTATATGTGCATAACCATGGGTGTACATTTGTGTGGGGAGTGTACATGTATGTGCACAAGGGTATGTTTGTGTGAATGGAGGCCAGAAGACAAATTCCTGGTGTTGTTCCTCAGGGGCAGCCCACCTTGATTTTTGAGACAGGGTCTCTACATAGCCCTGGCTGTCCTGGAACTCACTGTGTAGACAAGGCTGGCCTTGAACTCACAGAGCTCTGCCTGTCTATGCGTCCTAATTGCTGGGATTAAAGGCATGAGCCACCATGCCAAGCTTATGCCCCACATTTTTATGTGGGTTCTGGGGATTGAACTCAAGTCCTTGGGCTTGCACAACAAGCATTTTGCTGACCAAGCCACCTCCTCAGTCTGCTCCTTCCAAAGTTTTTAGTGGATATAAAGTAGTTTTGAGAGAAAATAACGGAGGAGATTATGGTACTATTTCAAAGTCACATTTAAAGATTTGTTTGTACTTCTTTGATTTTACATCTGTATCTTTTATATCTTGGTTCCTAAGGAACTCAAAAGGATTGCTTATTTGATATGTAAACATATATGTTTGATTTGTTCAGACAGTCGGCACTCCCTATCTCTAGGTTCTGCAACCCACACCAGGTGGAAGATATTTGAAAAACAAATTACATCTGGAATGGACTAGTGCAGACTCTTATTCTTTCCCCAACAGTATAATGCAGCAATACTTGAGCTGGCATTCCCATTGTGCTAGGTATTTTGAGGAATCTAGAGATGGTTTGAGCTATGCTGGAGGATATAGTAGGTTCTAAGATCAGACTATACTGTTTTATGTGAAGGACTTGAGCACTGAGGATTTTAGCCTGGGGGCATCTGGAGTGGGTCCCTGCCAATATTATTACTGATGGTTCAATTTGTGTGACTATGTTAGAGTATATAATTCAACAGACTGAAGGATACTGTATTGTGTGTGGTGTGTGTGGTGTTCATTCACATGTGTGTGCAGACGAATGTACCTGTGAGCATGCACAAAGGGCAGCAGAGGGTCTCTGGTGTCCTGCTGTATCACTCTTTGCTTTGTTCTTTTGAGGCAGGGTCTCTTTCTTGCTCAACCTAGAGTTCAAGTTTTCCAGTTAGGCTGGAGCCAGAAGTCCCAGAGTTCCTACCCCTAACCCCTCAGTGCTGGGGTTATAGACATGCACAGGGTCACACCTAGCATTTATGTGGGTGGTGGGATCTGAACTTTGGCCTTTATGCTTGAGAGGCAAGCACTCTTAAGCACTGAGACATCTCTCTATCCATTTCTTGTCTTTTGCTAAATACAAGCCATGTTGCAGAACAAGGTTTGTGTGCTTATTTATTCTCTCTCTCTCTCTCTCTCTCTCTCTCTCTCTCTCTCTCTCTCTCTCCCCCACTCTCCCACCCCAGGGTCTTTTATAGCTCAGGCTGGCCTCACGATGTAGCTGAGGATGACCTTGAACTCCTGATACTTGCCTCTACCTAACTTCCAAGTATATGGATTACAGCTGTGTCTCACCATGTCCAGCTTCATTTTCTGTTTTTTTTTTCTCATTTGTCTTTGGGTTGGTTACTAGTGGTGGGATTTCCAGGTCAAAGGGCATATACACTTTTCCTAAGAATGCCAAGATGCCCTTCCCACCGGTGATTAGGAAAGCACCTGCCACCCTGGCCTCTCCCAAAGATTGTGCCGTCAAACATCTGGAGTTTTGCCAATCAGATAGTGGGCCACTGGTATCAGAGTGTACTTTTAATTTGCATTTTCTTGTTATGAGTGAGGCTGAGCATTTTTTCTGAGGCACCAAGGCCACATGCCTCTTTCCCCGTGTGCTGGTCCTGATTCCAGCCCACTCTCCCACAGCACTGTCTGCCACAGTCTTCTCTGGCTTTAGATGCTCCTTATGTAGTAATGATATTAATCCCTTGCCTGTGGTGGTAAAAACTGTGTCCCAGCGTGTCCCTTATCTCTTACTTCCCCTGCGGTGGCTTTCCGTTTTATCTCCTGCTTCCGGATTTCACAGCACAGTGGGGCGTGTTTTCCTTAGTGACAGTTTCTTGAGGCAGGTGCTCTTCCTACTTTTCCCTGCCACCTCACCAGACCCAGGGCCTTGCACACGATAGACACGCACTCTACCTCTGGCTAGCCTGGCGGTCCTCACCCTTAAGTTCTTTCTGCAGAGCCCTACTTTAACTTTTATACTAAAGTCTTTGATCCATCTATCCTAGTTTCCTTCTGGCTTTGTGGTAAAAACCAGGATCAAGAACAACTTAGGTGAGGGGAGGGGTTATTTCAGTTTACTGGTAACAGCCCCATCTTCAAGGGAGGCCAGAGCAGGACCTCAATCAGGAACCCGGAAGCAGGCCGGCTCTCTATTCCACATAGCACTATCTCCCATCAAAGAACTCATTCACAGCCAAGGAAGTACAGCAGAGGGACGTGGCTTGCTTGCTTGTTATCAGGCTCATTCTTAGCCAGCTTTCTTATATAGCTTAGGACCACCTGCCCCAGGAACGGATGCCACCCACAGTGGGCTGTGCCCTCCCACATCAATTAAGACAATCAAGACAACCCCCCTCAGACACACCCACAGGCTAATCTAATCTAGGCGGTCCTTCAATTGAGATTCCCTTCTCAGATGACTTTAGGCTGTGTCAAGTTGACAATTGACACTAACAAGGACACCACCCAAAAATCATTCTTGTGCATGGTGTGAGAGGTGGGCCTGGCTGATCCTTCATCTTCTCTACATGCCCCAACTACTGTCACGATGCTTTACTGTTGTTTTGAGGTGGGTCTGATATAGCCCAGGCTGATCTTGAACTTGCTAGAGCGCCTGGGAGGATCTTGAGCTCCTGATCCTCCTGCCTCCACCTCCAGAGTGCTGGGATTATAGGTTTATATCACCACCTGGGTGCTTATAGAAGGCACACTTTTCTTCTGTGTTTGGGATATGGAGGTGCAGGTGTTGGTCACATCTGTGTGCATTGTCCTGGGATGTAGGTCCCCTTCTACCGCACACAAATTCCAGTGTAGCCCTCGTGAGGCAGCTCCCAAGAGCCAGTTGCACAAAACTTTTTACTCTATTCCCATCCCCACTACAGTGCAACAGTCCCAGGACAAGAAGCTCCTTCATGACCCTGGGGAGGAGCAAATGTTTCTCCCTTTACTTGCCCAGGCAGCCCTGTCTACTAGCAAAACCCTCAATCTAGCCCCTGACTCGGCTAACTTTAGCCTGCTCTCACTGAGTGCCACTTATGGTCGGTCCTTATCTCCTCAATCCCACATCCTTAGTGGGCAGCGATTAGCATTTTTTGCCTTCGCCTCTGCCAGCAGGGGCTTCTGGACACTCGAGGACACTCAGTGTTCTTCGGGCCAACACTTTCTCATCCTGTGCCTGAGAGTGTCCACGCGTATCCCAGGACGCCCTTCTTTGTGGCTCCTGCTCCCTCTCTAGGGTAGGTTCAGAGGGTGAGAAAGTGAGGGCCTGTGCTTCACCGGGTTCTTGGTGGTGGCACCTGCTAGTCCCTGAGCCCTGCAGGGAGGGCGGCCTCGGAGTGCGAGGAAGCACGTGCGCCCAGCAGGTGCGCACGGAGGGGAGCGCGGCGAGCAGCCTGGAGTGGAGTGGCGTGGCGTGGCAGGTGGCCGGCTGGCTGAGCCAGGCTGCAGGTAGGCGCGTGGTGGCACCCAGGGGCGGGGCGTCCCGGGGGCGGGGCGTGCCATCCCTGGGGACCAGCCCCGCCCCCGCCCCAGGCCGAGCGGACAGCGGCCCCCCGTGGCTGGGCTGGCAGAAGCCGCTACCCGCACTGCGCCCAGCACCCTGTGCAGCCTTCACCTCATCTCCGAGGCGTGGCGCGTTCCGGGGTCCTGTCTGCCCATGGACTCGGCCTCGTCCCCGCCCAGTGCGGAGAGGAAGCGCACGGGCTGGGGCCTCCTGCTGGGCGCCCGGCGGGGCAGCGTGGGACTAGCCAAGAAGTGTCCCTTTTCGCTCGAGCTGGCTGAGGGTGGCCCGGTGGGCGGCACGCTCTACGCGCCCATCGCGCCACCCGGAGCCCCGGGACCCGCATCCCCCATGTCGCCCCCTGTGTCTCCCGCCGCGGCCCCCGCAGACCTCGGACCACGGCCGCGGGTGAGCCTTGACCCGCGCGTCTCCATCTACAGCACGCGCCGGCCGCTGCTGGCGCGCACCCACATCCAGGGCCGCGTCTACAACTTCCTCGAGCGCCCCACGGGCTGGAAGTGTTTCGTGTACCACTTCACCGTGTGAGTAACCTCCCCGCACTCTAACTCCTCTGGGCTGGTGCCGCTGCGCCCTAGCTGCGACCCTGAGGGAGGCAAGGAAAGGCTAATCACAGAAACAGAAATCAGACTGGTAGCCGGTTCCTTAAGTTCAGGGACTCTGCTGGTGGCTGAGAGGGAGGCATGTGGAGGGGGACACTTGGAACATGGGGTACGCCAGCCCAGGAGTTCCCACACGCCAAGCTCTTGGGATGGAGGGACTGCGGTTAGGAGTTAGTCCCCACAGGAGTAATAAGCAAGCCGGGAGCTGGCCTTTTGGTGTGGGTCAATTGTGACAAGAGACTCAGGAGCCCCCAGGAGTGACTGGGGTCTGTGTACAAACCCGTCCAGGCCTTGGCGGGTGTTTCTGTCTCGGGCACTCAGAGCAGCAGGGACGTGTACAGGACAGATTGGCAGGTGCACTGGTGTTGCCCAAGATGTCCACAGGGGAGTGCCCACAGCTTCAGTAACCCAAGCTGATGAAAGTGGGCTGGATGCCCTGAGCCCAGCGGACACATTATCAGGAGTCCGCGAACAGCACCTGCTTTAGGTAATGGGAGGGAGCAGAGCTGCACCTGGCCTTCACTGCTCCCAGGTGGCTCTCATTCTCACAGGCTGCCTGAGAGGGGCAGGGCATTCCGTTTTTCAAGGGCAGGGGCACAGGAAGTCATCTCCAGGAATGGTCTGGCTGCCCTCCTTGCTGCCTCCCCCTGGCCACCTTGAGGCAGCACTTCCTGGCTGCCTGGCTTCTTGGTGCCCTGCCAGCCTCTGGCTCCGGATTCTACCCTGCCGACCCGCAGCTTTGGAAGCTCCATTAAGTGACCTCCTTGTGGCTTGTCCTGCCACCTGGGCAGGGCCCCACTGGGTGTCCAGGGTTCTGTTTACTCCTCTGAGGCACAACAAGGGCCAGGCTCACAAAGGTGTGTCTGATGCTGCTTGCCTTGCACCGGGAGACAAAGATCTTCCATGGTAGCCAGGGCAAGTCTCAGGACACCCTATCCCCACCGGCATTCTTGGTATGTCCTTAAGGCCACCCAACCCTCAACCTTGCCTCCCAAAGAGCCAGGACCCCTGAGATTTCATTGCTGGTCTTTGGGTGACAGAGACTCTGCATGTGTCTGCAGTGGCAGTGGGTTTTTCTCGGGGTACAGGGAATAGTGTGCAAAGACCCCGAGGGGCCTTACCCTTGTAGGAATGTCTAGCAAACACAAGGCTTGCTGTTCCTCAGTACTTGCCTGCTGGGCCCTAAGATCCTTGGGATGAAATGGGCGGGGTGCTGGAGAATCCTCTACCCTATTACCTCTTTGTCCAGGAGCTCCATTTGCCAAGGTGAGCAGCCTTCAGACACTTGCATGGTATCCTCCTGGGGATGCAGGTCGTTAGAATGAGCATCGTTAAGTTCCTGACTGTGGTAGCCTGGCCCTGGTGGAGGAAGAGGGCTTGTCCCGCCCCAGAGGAAGTCTGTGCTTACACTGTGCTTTCTTCCTGAATTGGATTGTTCAGCCCTCGGGAAGTTTGCTCAGCGGAGCTGCCTTTGCCCAACTTCCCCAGCAGCCAGGAGCCACACAGGGCTCTGGTGACTTTCTAGATTGGTGGCCCAAGGGCTTCGTTGTCAAGAAGAGGGAGTGAGATTCTGGCTGCTTAGTTGGCAGTTGATGAACCTTCCCCGGCCCTAGCACTGGCTGACGGTGGAATTTACTTACAAAGGGGAAGGAGTAAGCTGGGAAGGCCCTGCTGGGCACAGTAATGGCTTGCCCAGACTCTGGGGAAAAGGAGCCTCATTTCCATCACCATCAGGAGGTAGGCAGGACCCTCTGGGTCATGCACTCTCCCGAGAGGAGACATGGCCAGCAGCTAGGAGTCTAGCCACGTCTTCATGAGATGCATGGTGATGCTGGCTGCCCCTGGTGTGTTGCTCTAAGCAGCAAATGTAGCTGGCAGACAGCAAACTCTGCTCTTGGTAAGACGGACTCTAGACTGTACCAGGTGATGATGTTGCGGCTGGAAGAACAGACCTGCTCTTGAAAAGCAGGGAGTGAATGTGTGGGTGTGTGTGTGTGGGGGAAGAGTAGGAGTGAGAGCCGGTGTCCTGCAGGCTCTGGGGTATGCTTTCCCACATGCGTATGGGGAAACGGGCCCGGACATCCTGGCCCCTCCTTGGGGGACCCCTGCCTTGGCCCAAGTAGAGCAGCTCTTCCTGTGTCTGTGCTGGCCTTCTCTGGCTGCCAGGGTCAGGACATGGCCCCCTGGCACTGCCCTTTGCTGTTTGGGTTCCCACCTCCTCACCCTAATCCTTTCCTGTGGCCCTTTGTGTCCCCGTAGAGAAGAGCTCCCTTCCTAGTTGAGGTCACAGGGGGTTAGCTGCCTTGCTGCTGGGCCTTGGCCAGGGTCAAGGGCAGATGTTCTACTCTGTCAGGCTGCTTGGAGATTTTGGCTGTGACTAACAGAGGGATTTGAGAGACACTGCCCACCTCCCTGGTTCTTGTCCCCAGCCTCTCACAGTCTTGGCTTGCTCAGTTCCCAAGAACTTTCTGCGGCTTTTGCTAGTACCTCAGGGAGTTGGTCATAAGTGGAGCTTGCATCTGCTCCTGGTGGTCAGTTGGGCAGGCCTTTTCAAATGCAGAAGCTGACTGTATTGGTTCTGACTCATGGAGTGGCTGCTGGGCAGTTGTTCAGCAGACCTAGGATGATGGAGACAGTGCTGAGGCGATGGCAAGGCTGTGTGGATGACCAAGTCTTCCCTTCTGGTCCCTGAAAGCATCTCTATTCTGTGGTCCTGGAAAAGAATACATTTTGAGGTGTCTCTTTGGGGCTTCTCCACATGCCATCCCCTCTGGGACCTGGCCCCTTGGTGTCATCCCCTGACATACCAAATATCCATACATACATCTCAACCTGTCCTCAGACGCAGCCTGGTATTTCTGTGTGCACTGTTGCTTGTATGTGGAGCCCTTCATCTTGGCTTGCCCTTAGCTGGGTGGTCACGGGCATCCTTTTTTGCCAGGGCTCTCAGCTAGGGAGGAGGAGGAACAATCCCATGAAACTCAGATCTGAGGAAGGGATGCTCTACTCTGGGGTCATGAGGCATGGGTACCTGTGCCAGGCCAAGGTGGTACTGGGAGCTACTGAGGCAGGAAAGGAGCCTATAGGGACCCATGGTGTTAAATGACAGAGGTCAGGCCCCCGCTGCTGTGGCCTCTGTTTCTGAGGGAGTTTGGTGCTTGGAGCCCTCTGGTGGCAAAGTAGGGTCCAGAACTCATGCTTCCTGGGTGGTGTCCCCTTTGCAAAGAGTGGTTGCTTATGGTGCACAATGCAGGATAGCATTCACAGTGGGTCTCCCTACCAAAGGAGAATTGCAGCTGCTTCAGTGGTTTCCGAGTAATGAGATGCACAGGTTCTGGTCGTGACCTGCAAAAGGGCCCCGGCTCCTCACTCTTTCCTCAACACCCTTCTCTAGGACATGGGCCCGGTTAGTTCCACAGTCCCTCCCAGCTCTGACATCCCAGGCCAACCATGGGTGCCTGTGCACCCTGCTGTGAGGAAAGGTTGCAGAGAAGCTCCTGGTAACTCCTTTGTGGGGTGCCCAGCCCCCGCCTCTGGCAGGGGGAATGAAGGGATGAGTGCTACCAACAAGGGTCACCTGGATGCTGAACCTAAGGAATAGTTGCAGAGGGGAGGTGCCGGCTCTTTTGACTCTGTGGGGAAGCATGTGGAGTAACAGGTAGGGCAGGGGGAGGCTGTGGCCCTGCAAGGCCTCAGGGCCAGAGAGTAGGTGGTGCTAATGGGTCATCCCAGCTAAGCTCTGCTCACCCACCCCCAAGAACAAGATGTGTTCCCTTTGCTTCTTCCTGGGGGAAGTCCCTCTCTGTAGCCGAGTGTGCAGAGTCCCAGACTTCTGAGGGCCACAGAGAAAAGCTGGTGGTTGCTCTATCGGCAGGGTGACTGTGGTGACCATGGGACCTAACTTTCCATGAGGCGGGACCTGACTTTCCATGAGGCGTCTGAGCACGTGAAAAGGCTGCCTCTGCAAGCCCTTTATCTTCCGCTGTGTGGCCCAGCCCCCTTCCCTGGACCTACCCAGAGGCCTCTTGAAAGGTGGAAGGGACCGCAGCAGCGCCTCTGTCAAGGGCCTGTCAAGTGTGGCTACTTGCTGGGTGCAGCTGAGAACCCTGGACCTCCGAGAGGGCAGATTGCTGGCCTAAGGTCACATAATTGGACATGCCCGTGGAGCCAGGAGCTCCTGCCCCATTTACCATATGATGATCAGAACCAAGTAAGGAATGGTTGCTGTTCTTCTCGAAGGAGAGGTGAGAGTCCTTGGACAGAAGGAGCCTGTCTCCTGAGGATGCAATGGAGTCCAACCTGACACACGTCAGCCTTTAGTGCACACTCTGTCAAATGTTCAGAAGCTGCTTCCTCCAGAAAACCTCCCCAGGCAGAGAGATGCTCAGTGCCCCTGTCTGTCCCCCTGCCCTGCCTTCTCACACACGGAGAGTCCATTGGTAAAGCTGTCTTTTTTTGGTGCTAGCATGTATCTTGATGCCCCTGAGTGTTAAGAGGCCAGGCAGGCAGGCCGGCTGGCACCTGGAGCTGTCTGGCTCCTTTCAAGGGCTCCTTGCTTTCTCCCTGCTGGTGTTCACCCCACCCTACAGCCTGGCCTGTGGTCGACAAGCCTGCTGCCTGGATGACTCTAAGCCCCACAGACGGGCCAGACTGATGACATCTGTCTGCAGTATTTTTATCCAGTGACATTCCTGAGCTTGGGAAAGTGGTGGGTAGAGGCAGACACTGCCAGAGGACCCTTCTGTGGCCTGGGGACAGTCCTGAGGGCCCCACCCATTACTGTTCTATAAGCCAGGGCTTCTGTCTTGGCCACTGCCCTGGCTAAGTACAGGCAGATCTGAGATGGGAGTACATGGTGTTTGTCCACTTTCTGGCCACCTCCTGGGAAGTACCTGACTCTGGTTTATGGGAACTGAGCAGAA